ATGGCACCAGAGAAAAGCATTTCTAACACCAGTACGTACCCTGAGTCACTCAGGGGAAATTGGTATGTCTGTGCAGAGGCAGAAGAAAATGCTGAGTGGAGGTGCACCACACTGCACAGCAGTGCTTTCCACATGCAGCTATTAGAGTCTTCATTTAATTGGGCTGTTATTTGCATGACTAGATACTTACTAAATTTAGTCATACTATTTTTTAACAACTAATGGCATCTGTTACCCATTAATTTTATACATTTGCTTTTTTTGAAAAACAAATCTTTTAATTGTACTCTAAATTGAGACTGACTTTACAATCCTCAATTTTTCAATGTTAAAGTAAATCAGAGAAGAGCAATGTGTGTATATAGTGTACATTTTCCTACCTATCAGAATTTTTCTTTCATTGCCTTGGCAACCGTGAGAAGCCACCTATAAAATATTCCCTTTGAATACTTTAGTCAGGATTTTAGATTTCTAAGGTCAAAAACAATCATTGAGCAAAACCAAAATCTTTGTTTCTTGTTAGTCATCTGGCCATTTCCAAAAGCATGGCAATTACAACAAGCCATTGAGATGTGGTTTTGATTCATTTTATCTCATTTCAAATGTTTTCTCTAATTGTTACTTTTGTCATGTTAATTTGAAAGGAACTATCTACATAACTAATCATGAATTCAAGAAATACTCATATTAAGGTGTTTACAGTTTAATCTTGTATTATAGTATAATAGAATCATATATAATTAGAAATTTATAAATTATTGAATGAATTATAAATTCATGAATTTATAATTATTTATAAATTCATTGTTTTTAAGGTTTTTCAAATGTGAAAACAAGTAATTAGGTATGCTTTTTGAAATAAGTTCAATTCTAGGATATTACTCACTGGGCTTCATGGTGTTTCTGTAAGGAATAGTGTAAACCTGGGTCACCAGAATGGTGCAGACATGCTGATTGAATCAGAATGAGTTCAGCCTTTTTGGTAGACTATCGGTATCCCAGAGGCTGATCATTCACTACAACTTGCTAAGTGTTGTTCCATAATGCCAGTGAGCACTTTTACCCAGGTTACCCTTTTCCTCCCATTAATGTGGTCCTGTTGTGGTCTCCTGTTTCTCTTAAGCTATCCCAGATGAGAGGTGATTATTTCTTGTATGAATGAGGTTCCCTTTTTTTCCCTCTGCCATAGGATTCTCTTATTCTCCATACTGGAAGCAACATGCAGGAGGCAGGAACCATGACAGTATTTAAACATGTTTCCTGTCGTGTGACCACCATAAGCAGCTTGCAACAGGTTCCACCTAGAAGTCACTTACTTTCAGGCCAGCAGGGGCATTTTTCTATGTGTCTCTTTCTCTTAAAAGCACCTCTGATTAAGTTTAACACAATCAAGACAATCTCCATTTTGATAAACACAAAGTCAACACATGAGGAACCTAATTTCTTTCTTTCTTTTTTTTTTTTTTTTTTTTTTTTTTTTTTTTTTTTTTTTTTTTTTTGTTGAGACGGAGTCTCTCTCTGTCGCCCAGGCTGGAGTGCAGTGGCCGGATCTCAGCTCACTGCAAGCTCCGCCTCCCGGGTTCATGCCATTCTCCTGCCTCAGCCTCCCGAGTAGCTGGGACTACAGGCACCCGCCACCTCGCCCGGCTAGTGTTTTTGTAGTTTTAGTAGAGACGGGGTTTCACCATGTTAGCCAGGATGGTCTCGATCTTCTGACCTCGTGATCCGCCCGTCTCGGCCTCCCAAAGTGCTGGGATTACAGGCTTGAGCCACCGCGCCCGGCAAGGAACCTAATTTCATGAGTGATTTCCCACCACAGTCACATATTTTTTTTACACTGAAGAGGAAAGTATTACGCAGCAGGTGTGCAACAGACTGGGAATCCAAGGTATTATTTTAGAACTTTGCCTACCCACCTGAATAAACTTTTAAAATAGTCTTTCTGCTCCTTTTGATATCTGCATAAACAAAGATATCATCTGCAAATAATAATTAACTACGTCCCAATTTATTCATTACAAATATTAACTTATATCTTTTTTCTGGCTTAAATTATTTTTCCTTTATGTAGCATTTTATGCATTCACACACGTATAGAACAATAAAAATATATCCAATTTTTCAATGTTGGTTAAATTTTCATTAAAATAAGTGTTAAAAGGATTTTTTTTTCTGTTTGGAGAAGGCCTTTATTGTTTACTCAAGACTGTTATTCCTTTTTTTTCTTTTTCTCTCTTGAGGCAAAGTGTCGCTCTGTTGCCCAGGCTGGAGTGCAGTGGCGCGATCTCGGCTCACTGCAAGCTCCGCCTCCTGGGTTCATGCTATTCTCCTGCCTCAGCCTCCTGAGTAGCTGGGACTACAGGCACCCGCCACCACGCTGGGCTAATTTAAACCGTGTTAGCCAGGACGGTCTCGATCTCCTGACCTCGTGATCCGCCCGCCTCGACCTCCCAAAGTGCTGTGATTACAGGCGTGAGCCACTGCACCCGGTAAGAGTGTTATTTCTGGAGACAAAGTTGCCTGTCCTTTAATGGGCAGATAATGGGGAGAATCCGAACCAAACCATAGGCCATTAACTTTTTTTTTTTTTTCCGAGACGGAGTCTCGCTGTGCCTCCCAGGTTGGAGTGCAGTGGCGTGCTCTCGGTTCACTGCAAGTTCTGCCTCCCGGGTTCACGTCATTCTCCCGCCTCAGCCTCCGAAATTGCTGGGACTACAGGCGCCCACCACCACACCCGGCTAATTTTGTTTTTGCATTTTTAGGAGAGACGAGGTTTCACCGTTTTAACCAGGATGGTCTTGATCTCCTGACCTCATGATCCGCCCGCCTCGGCCTCCCAAAGTGCTGGGATTACAGGCATGAGCCACTGCGCAGGGCCCATAAGCCGTAACATTTTACATTAATAAATTCAAGACAGGCTGGATGCGCTGGCTCACGCCTGTAATCCCAGCACTTTGGGAGGCCGAGGTGGACGGATCATTTGAGGTCAGGAGTGCAAGACTAGACTGGCCAACATGGTGAAATCTTCTCTGTACTAAAAACACACAAAAAAATTAGCTGGGCATGGTGGCACATGCCTACAGTTCCAGCTACTGGGGAAGCTGAGGCAGGAGAATCGCTTGAACCCAGAAGGTGGAGCTTGAGGTGACCCGAGATCGTGCCATTGCACTCGGTCCTGGGCCACAAGAGTGAAACTCTGTCTCAAAAAAATAATAATAATTAAATAAATAAATAAATAAATAAATTCAAGACAAAGCAGAAAGTATATATTTGCTTTCAGCATTTTTGAGGTGTTTAGTTTTCTATTAGTCACCTTATTTGTTTTGTTCCCATAAATGCTCCAATTTTATTTATTTGTTTTGTTCCAGTGAGTAGGCATTAATGGTTCTTCCACATTTTTATATTTGTACAATTTTTCTCAAGGATCATAGCTTTCCTGTGAAATAAGGTATAAGCACTGATTAAAAGTTTTGCCACATTCTTCACACTGGTAGGAGTTTTGACAGTATGGCAGTCATACTGCCAAACAAGCATACTGCCATAGAATCCAGTGTGGCAACCATATAAAGGCTTTGTCACATGTTATACATTTCTAGGGCATCACGCTAGTATAATTTATTTTTATGTATAGGAAATTTGGAGGTGTTGGTAAAAGCACTGTCACGTCTTTCAGGTTTGTAGATTTCCTCTTCAGCATGAATTAGCGTCATGTCTCTTAAGAGTTCAGAACATATAGCCAGGTGTTGTGGCTCATGCCTGTAATCCCAGCACTTTATGAGAATAAGGCAGGTGGATCACATGAGGTTAGGAGTTGGAGACCAGCCTGGCAAACACGGCAAAACCCCAACTCTCCTAAAAATATAAAAATTAGCTCGGTGTAGTGGTGGGCATGCACCTGTAATCCCAGCTACTTGGGAGGCTGAAGCAGGAGAATGGCTTTAACCCAGGAGGTGGAAGTTGCAGTGAGCTGAGATCTTGCCATGTCACTCTAGCCTAGGTGACAAGAGTGAAAATCCATCTCAATAAAAAAAAAAAAAAAAAGAATTGAGAACTTGTTATAGGCTTTGTCACAGTCTTCACACTTGTAGGGTTTCTGACCAGTATGAATTATGTGTAACAAGGGTTGAGAACTTTGTTAAAAAAGCTTTATCACATTCTTCATATTTGTAGGGTTTATGTTCCATATAAATTCTCTTATGTAGTAGGAGCTGAGGGCTGGTTAAAGGCTTTCCCATATTCATCACATTCATAGAGTTTCTCTCCAGTATGAATTATCTTATGCTTATTAAAAGTGGAGGAACATTTAAAATATTTGCCACATTCTTCACTATGTAGGTTTTCTGTTCAATATGAATTCTCTTACGTTTATTAAGGTCTGAGGACCGGTTAAAAGCTTTGCCACATTCTTCACATTTTTAAGGTTTCCCTCCAGTATGAACTAACTTATGTGTAGTAAAGTCTGAGGACCCATTGAAGGTTTTGCCACATTCTTCACATTTGTAGGATTTCTCTCCAGTATGAATTTTCTTATGTGTAGTGAGGTTTGAGGAGTGCTTAAAGGCTTTGCCATACTCTTTACATTTGTAGGGTTTCTTTCCAGTATAAATTCTCTGATGTGTAGTAAGGTTTGCAGATTGATTAAAATCTCTGCCACATTCTTTACATCTGTAAGGTTTCTAACCTGTGTGAATTTTCTTACAGGTAGTAAGGGTTGAGGACCAGTTAAGAGCTTTGCCAAATACTATGCATTTGAAAGGACTTTTTCCAGTAAGTCTTATCTTATGTCTGTTTGAATTTGAAAACTTAGGAAAGACTTTTCCATATTTATCACATTGAAAGATTTTTTTCTAGGTATTTGTCAAACATTGGTTAAGTCCATTATAATCTCTTTTGTGCAACTTACGCTCACCCACACTTTTACAGCCTTTTTTTTTTTTACTGTAAATTGTCATGTCTGCATTTTTCATATCTTCTCAGTATCACTTTTTGGAAAGAATCTTTTATGCTCTGCTCTGGCCAAAGTTTGTGGGCAAAATGAGAACACATAACTGAAAGAAACAACGAAAACACACTACTTCAATTGCTAGACTCAGATAAATATACTTTGCAAATCTAACCAATAAAATTATACAAACTACATAAGCAAGATGACATAGCAAAATACCACCAACTGCAATTTCTTCCTGGACATATAAATTTAACAAAAACATACTGACCAAAATACATTTGTAAAAAATTTATAAATGAGTTAAGTGTGTGAAGGGCCACAGGTGAGCACAATGCAAAGGAGCCATATAGAAGAAAAAGAAAGCTCTGTCACTTATACTCAACACAGTATAACATTGGGTTATCCAGTATAACATCCAGTATAACATATCCTGCTGTCCAGTATAACATTGTGCTTTCAAAAGTAAACTGCCAGCTGGGCATGATGGCTCATGCCTGTAATCCAAGTACTTTGGAAGGCAGAGGTGGGTGAATCACGAGGTCAAGACTTCAAGACCAGCCAGGCCAAGATGATGAAACCCCGTCTCTACTAAAAACACAAAAAAATTAGCCTGATGTGGTGGAGGATACCTTTAATCCCAGCTACCTGGCAAAGGTAGAGAATTGCTTGAACCAGGGAGTGGGAAGTTGCAGTGAGCCGAGATTGCGAAACTGTACTCCAGTCTGGGCAACAAAGGGAGACTCCGTCTCAAAAAAAAAAAAAAAAAAGGTAAATTGCTGGCCAGGCATAATGGCTTGTGCCTGTATTCCTAGCACTTTGGTAAGGCAAGGCAGGTGGATCAACTGAGGTCAAAAGTTTGAGACCAGCCTGACCAACATGGTGAATCCCCAACTCTACTAAAAATTAAAAAAAAAATTAGCCAGACATGGTAACAGGCACCTTTAATCCTAGGTACCTGGAGGCTGAGGCAGGAGAACTGCTTCAACTGTGGAGGCAGAGATTGTAGGGAGTCAAGATTATGCCCCTGCACTCCAGCCTAGGTAACAGAGAGAGACTGTCTCTCACACACATAGACACACACAAATGTAAATTGCCAACTCCTGGTTTATTAAAAAAAAAAGAAAGAAAAAAGAAAAAAAAAACAAGAAAAATATTGGCACATACATCTTTATTTCTGGCTTCTAGGAACTTTTTTAGACACTGGTTAATGTCTCCCATGACATAAAATGCTGAAAGAAATGGTGATATACATTGGAATGACAGTTTGAGTCTGCTGAGTCTAAAGATAAATGTTACAGAAGCAGAGAAACTGCAGGAACCCAAAGAGGAAAGGGGTGTAGCAAATGACTACAAAGAAGACATATGAATAAACTGATTTAATTAATCAATAAACACAATATTTTAGACAAGACTCATTCTAAAAACATTTTTGAGAAATTCTCAGAATCTCCAGCCAAGACAATTGATTTCAGACTACACCAGGACAAAGCTGTATTATAAAGATTGTAACACGTAGCTTTTTGTTATGTCGGAATCTCAAAGATTACAATGTATACAAAATATTTGGGCAACATTACCCCATTAAAAAAACTATAAAATTTTTAAAAGCAACCATAAAAACTGTATAAAGTAATTTTTAAAATTCAGAATAAATTGAACAGGCCACACTTGGTGGCTCACTCCTGTAATCCTTACACACTGGGAGGCCAAGGTGGGAAAATTACATGAGGTCAGGAATTTGAGACCAGCCAGGCCAACATGGTGAAACCCTGTATCTACTAAAAATACAAATATTAGCTGGGCATGGTGGCCTGTGCCTGTAATTCCAGATACTTGGGAGACTGATACATGAGAATTGCTTGAACCCAGGAGGGGAAAGTTGCAGTAAGTGAAGATTGTACCACTGCACTCCAGGCTGGGCAACAGAGCAAGATTGTCTCAAAAATAAAATAAAATAAAATGAAGTAGGCTGGCACGGTGGCTCACACCTGTAATCCCAGTACTTTGGGAGGCCGAGGTGGGTGGATCATTTGAGGTCAGGAGTTTAGGATCAGCCTGGCCAACATGGTGAAACCTGGTCTCCAGCAAAGATACAAAAATCAGCCGAGCATGGAGGCAGGCACCTGTAATCCCAGCTACTGGGAGGCTGAGGCAGGAGACTCGCTTGAACTTAGGAGGCAGAGGTTGCAGTGAGCCAGGATCATTGCAGTGAGCCACTATTGTGCCATGGCACTCCAGCCTGGGAGACAGAGTGAGACTCTGTCTCAGAAAAATAAATAAATAAAATTGAATAATATTCAGTAAGTGAAATAGGAGCACAGACAACTAATGAAGATCAGAAAAATGAGGATGACAAGAAAAAATATTAAAATAGCAAAAAACAAAAATTGTGGATATAAAAAATACAAAAAAAATCACTGAAAAATTTCTTAAGAGAAAAAATAATGTAAACATGAAGAAGCTGAACAAACTAGGACACACATAAAGATATTTATAACAAATACAACTATAAGCAAAATTTCAAAAATCACAGATAAGAAGAGAATTTTGGGAGCTGCAAGATAAAAAAAAGTGTCATTTGTAAGCATAGTCTCATGAGATAACCAGTGAATTTATCAAAAAAAAAAGTTTTACAGGTCAGAAGGAAACTGTGATATTGTTAAAGTTATAATTTTAAAAAGTCACGTGAGAATAATACCATCAGCACAATCGTACTACCAAATAAAAAGAAGTCCTTCCACAATAACCAAATCCTGAGAAAGCATATTGGCCCTGCATATGCCCTACATATCAAAGATGCTGAAAGGAGTTTCTTCCACTGAAAATAACATAATGCAAGAAAACAACACATAATCAGATGAAAATAGGTAACTTTCTGGGAAAGATATGCACATACACAAGAATGGAATTGCTTACTTATCATTATCATAAGGGTGCAGAAAACACTTTCAGCTATTTAAAACTTAAAAGGTAAAGTAGAGAAATTATTACAAACATTGTTAATGAATATATAAAATATAAAAAATATAATTAGCAAAATCAATAACAAAGTTGAAGGCAGATGTAATCATGAAGATTTTTTGCATTCAACTGAAGTTAATTTTTTACCACACTTAAATATATGGTTGGATCTTTTAGAGGTTTTATGTAATCCCCAAGATACTACTAAGAAAATATCTGTATAGATACACAAAAGAAAATAAGAAGAAAATTGAAAGCATATCAATACAAAAATTTTAAAAATATACAAAAAGGCAGAAAAAAAATGAGAGACAAAGACATAAGAATCAAATAAAAGAATTAATAAAGTAATATTGGCCAGGTGTGGTGGCTTATGCCTATAATCCCAGCACTTTGGGAAGCCAAGGAAGGCAGATCACTTAAGGTCAGGAATTCAAACCCAGCCTGGCCAACATGGCATAAACCCATCTCTACTAAAAATACCAAAAATTAGCCCAGCGTGGTGGCAGGTGCCTGTAAACCCAGCTGCTCAGGTGGCTGAGACAGGAGAATCGCTTGGACCCAGGAGGCGGAGGCTGTAGTGATCTGAGATTGCACCATTGCACTCTAACCTGGATGAAAGAACGAGACTCCATCACAAAAAAAAAAAAAGGTAAGTTTTTCTCTTTCCGAAAACTATTTAAATATATATATACAATTATCTTTCCAATCAAGAGACATACTTTCAATAAAAAGCATTATTAAACAATTTTACCAGCTTGACCAACATGGCGAAACCCCGTCTCTACAAAAAATGTAAAACTTGGCCGGGCGTGGTGGCTCAAGCCTGTAATCCCAGCACTTTGGGAGACCGAGACGGGCGGATCACGAGGTCAGGAGATCGAGACCATCCTGGCTAACACGGTGAAAACCCGTCTCTACTAAAAAAAATACAAAAACTAGCAGGGCGAGGTGGCGGGCGCCTGTAGTCCCAGCTACTTCGAAGGCTGAGGCAGGAGAATGGCGTGAACCCGGGAGGCGGAGCTTGCAGTGAGCTGAGATCCGGCCACTGCACTCCAGCCCGGGCGACAGAGCCAGACTCCGTCTCAAAAAAAAAAAAAAAAAAAAAAAAAAAAGCAAACATTAGCCATGCATGGTGGTGTGCACCTTTAATCCCACCTACTCGGGAGGCTGAGGCAGGATAATCGCTTGAACCCAGAAGGTAGAGGTTGCAGTGAGCCAAGTTTGCGCCACTTGCACTCTAGCCTGGGCGACAGAGTGAGACTCCATCTCAAAAAAAAAAAAAAAAATTAAAAATCAAGATCCAACTGGCCTTTCTACAAGAGTCACCTCAGATCTAATGATAATGACTGAAAGTGGTAAGATGGAAGGAGAAATTTCATGTAAATATTAATCAAATGAGAGCAGGTCAAAATAATATTACATAAGCTACATCTTAAGTCAAAAACTGTCATATTTTATAAAATGTACTTTAAGTCAAAACTTCAAAAAGACACAGAAGGACATTAAACAATATATAGATTCATTCACTGGGAACCTATCACAAATTTGTTTATACATGTGTGTATTTGTGTGTGTGTGTGTGTTTCAAATTAGGGTTTCAAATATATAAAGCAAATACTAACAAAACTGAATAAACATACAGAGAGAAATATAATTACAGTAGGATATTTCAATACCCCACTTGCTATAATAATAATGACATATTTGAAAATCCATGTTTATTGTACCACTATTCACAAAAGACAAAAGGCTGAAGCAACTCAGGTGTCTCTTGATTTATAAACATATCAAAAAATGTAACATATATATACGATGAAATATTATTCCACCTTAAAAAGAACAATCTTGTCACATTTTAAGATGACGTTGAGAATATTATGTCACCTGAATTAATCCAGTAACAAAATTACAGATACTCTATGATTCCACTTATATGAAGTATCTTAAGAAGTCAAAATCATGCCGGGCACGGTGTCTCACGCCTGTAATCCCAGCACTTTGGGAGGCCGAGGAGGGCGGATCACGAGGTCAGGAGATCGAGACCATCCTGGCTAACACAGTGGAATCCCATCTCTACCAAAAATACAAAAAAATTAGCCAGGCGTGATGGCGGGCGCCTCTAGTCCCAGCTACTGGGGAGGCTGAGGCAGGAGAATGGCGTGAACCCGGGAGGCGGAACTTGCAATGAGCCGAGATTGCACCACATCACTCCAGCCTAGGAGACAGTGCGAGACTCCGTCAAATAAATAAATAAATAAGAAGTCAAAATCATAAAAAGAGAAAGTGGAAGGTTTGTCTGTCTAGGGCTGGAACGAGGGTAAAATTAGCGGTTGTTACTTAATGGGTATTGAGTTTAAGTTTTACAAGATGTAAAGTTTCTAGAAGTCTTTTGCATAACAATGCGAATATATTTAACATCCCTGAAATGAGCAGCTTTTTTTTGAGACAGGGTCTCACTCTTTCAACCAAGATGGAATGTAGAGGCACAATTTTGACTCTCCCTCAATCTCCAACGTAGATGGGACCACAGGTGCACACCACTATGCCTGGCAATTATCAATTTTTTTTTTAATAGAGAAAGGTCTCTGTATGTTGCCCAAGCTGGTCTCAAGCTTTTGGGCTCCAGGAATCCTTCTGTCTCGGCCTCCCAAAACCCTTGGATTACAGATGAGAGCCACAACCATGCCTGGCCGTGAAATATACACTTCAATAGATTTAAGGCGGTACATTTTATGTTACGTGTTTTTAAAACATTTCTTTTAAAGAAAAACTGAAAAAAATACAGAATTATAAATCTTTTTGAAAATTACCTTCAAATCACTAAAGTTTCTCTCTCACAAAAGGAAATATATATTCATCATTAAACACACCGTACAAATAAGACTATATCCATGACAACTCCCTTAGACAAGATAAAACTACCATTGAAACTCAGCTAAGAAAGAATATAGGATAAGCCATAACTAAAATTGGGGTCATATTTATAAATAAACATACATACATATGTAATCTGATTGTGATAAACATGCATAATTTATCTCTTAATTAAACCTCAAATTGACTTAAACTGTATAAACAGAATTTCAAATTATCTAAAATTGTAATATGAAAGTAAAACCAACAGACACAAAAAACTGATGTTACGAAACCTACACTGAGGCCAGGTGCAGTGGCTCATATCTGTAATCTTAGCTCCTTGGAAAGCTGAGGCACGAGAATTGCTTTGAACCCAGGAGGTGGAGGTTGCAGTAAACCAAGCCCGCACCACTGCACTCCAGCCTGGGCTACAGAATGTGACTCCGTCTCACAAAAACAAAAAAATTGTCCAAGTAAC